GAAAGAAAAATACCAAACTTTGAGCTTTTGAATGCTTGCGCCGTGCTTCAGATAGTTCCTCCAAATGGTCCTGAGAGCTCACTCTTGTCTTTAGATGCTGCATAAGTTTGTCAAAGTCTTGGTTCAAAGCTTGACCATGGTGGCAAGACATGTACATGGGTGTGAGGTTCACTTCAAGACATCATAACTTCACGAGTTTTGGCTCAAATGGTGTGGTCTTGGATTCTTTGGAAAGTTGAGATGTAACTCTATAATTTTCATGTTATAGGGATTTTGAATTAAGATTCGGAAGTATGTGAAATATGGCATGGAAGTTTGGTAAAACTAGGTACCTCAAAAAGACTTAGAAAAATGTCTAAGTTACCAAATCCAACTTTGAAACTTCCTCACTTTAGAACATTATAACTTATGGTTTATTGATCCAAATGGAGATTTCTTGGTATGCTTGTAAAGCTTGGAGAACAAGGAACAACTCTCATGTTTGAGGAACTTTGAATTGAGGCTTGGAACATTAAGAATAATCCAAATGAAGTTGCCTTCAAAATGCTGAAAATTATATTATCAAAATTAACAACTTTGCAACCCTAACTTCAAAGCACCATAATTTGAGTTCTAGACATACTTTTGAGGAGTTCTTGATATCAAAAGAAAGCTAAGAAGATTATCTATAACTTTCATTTTGATGGAAGAGTCAAATTAAACTTGGAAAAATTTCTAAGTATGGAATTTCCAAATCAAGTTTTTTTCTAACTTTGAACCAATATAACTCCAAATCCATTCATCTTTTGGACATGATTTCTTCTAGAAACTTGTAGCTTAGGATACCCTCTTTACAAAGATCATTGGTGTGCTCCAATTGACTCATGGATGAGTGAGATATGACTCTTGTAAGATGACTATAATTCTTGATTTCCACACTTAAAATATTTCAAACAAAACCCTAACTTCACCAAACTCTTGATTTTATGATTCTAACTTGATTTTCCTTGATTTATTCATATGAGCCCATGGAATAAGACTTGTTTCATAATGTTTGAACTTTCTGCTTGTTTTTACCAGAGTTATTGATTGCGGCCGCTCCGGCCGGAGCGGCCTCCTGTCGTGCGAGAAGGGAGGTGTGATTCGCCGTCTGAAATCGCAGCTGATTTCGACAAGATCGCGGGTCGCGAGTAGCGTCGTGCACCCTGGACGGAGCGGTTTATCCATTTTTTTCCCTCTCTGGTTGTGTTTCTTTGGTTGTTTTGCAGATGCGGTTGTTTTGTAGATGCGGCAGAGAAGAAAGAGAGAAGGTATTGTTTTGTAGACGCGGCGGAGAAGAAAGGGATTGTTTTGCAGACGTGGCGGCGAAGAAATGGAGAAGAAAGGTAGTGGTTAGGGTTTTTCACACTTTTGTGTAACCAAATGGATCGGGCGGCGGCAAAGAAGAAAGGTAGTGGTTAAGGTTTTTCACACTTTTGTGTAACCAAATGGACCGGGTGGCTTTTTTGACTAAATACATATATAACTGAAATGGGCTAAAATGAGACTTAAACTAATTTTATGTTTGGTATCTCAAAGTAATTTTATGTTTGGGTATCTCAACTATTATTAAAAAAAAAAACAAGACATATTAACCCTTTAGTTATAATATGTTAATAAAAATTAATAAATATAATAACATTAAACTTAATAAATATAATAACATTTAATAATGTAAATAATAATAACATATATTAGATAAAATAATTAAATTTTTAATCCATTTTTATTTTATTAATTTGATATTTATAAAACTTTTATGTTGCTAATTTAATATTCTTTTTAATTGTTCACCTAAAATAATTTATTTGTATATATTATTTATATATTTAGTCTAAAAAATAGTCAATTCTAAAAAGTCAACAAAACTTATCCCGCTATCTCATTTTTGGGGTCGGCCGTTCCATTATCTGCTATTAATAACTCTGGTTTTGACTTGTAGGGATGTTTGTTTCAATAACAAGGATTGAGCTAAAGTTAGGGTTGCAAATTTGTGTGAAAAACCCATAATGACATCTATAATTAACACAAGTTTGTAGCTATCACTTCAGCTCCATCCTCCTTTCATTATGTATGCCATTATGGGAGACATGTACGTTTCTGAAACATTCTATGAGTTGATATATATGTTGTTGTTGTTGTTCTTATTAATAAAAGTGTTATGTTGTATATTGTTTAAGGTTTCATGTTGATGAATGTTGTTGTTAATGTTTGTTTAAAATATGAGTTTATTATATCTTATATGGTTTAAGTATTTTTCCAATCTCTTACCGAATATATAATTTTTTAGATTGCATTAAAAAATTATAATATGATAGATAAAGTTATATTAAAAAATAAGTATACGTTCAATTCTAGACAAGAATTCTTCAGCATGTTATTTGCATTTCGTTCTTTAACAGATAGAACTTTATTTAATGCTTGTAGTTCTTCAATCCCCCTTTCTCCACCTCTAATTTTGTTTGCAAAATAAATAATATTTTTCAAAATGAATTAGAGGTGAAAGAAGGGAAGGTTAAAAAAACTAAGAGCATTAAACAAAGTTCTAACCATTAAAGAACAAAATATGGATAAGGAGTTGAAGAACTCTTATCTAAATCAGATTGAAAGGTTATATGTTTAGTGAACTTGTTCTTCTAATATAACTTAATTTCTCATATTATAATGTTCTAGATCAGATTTGAAAGGTTATATGTTTAGTGCGCATTGGCGAAATAAGCAATTCACATAATTTATAATAAACTCAGTGCATATATCACAACAGTGATTTATACCAACCGTTGTTAAATGTTACGCGTTAAGAATGTCACAACGGTTGTTTCCGTTTAAAGTAACTGTTGTAATAGGTAGCACGCTACATAACTTATAATCACGATTGCATGACCGCGGTGAAAAACATCATACATACAATCACCCCCTACTTAACAACAGTTGGTTGGTGTGGTGTTATCCTTTTTCCAACTGTTGTGAAATGGTTTTATATAGTAATGTTGTTAGTTCCTTGCATGCCTAGATTGACTTGGAGTTGTTAGAGATTTTGAAGTATTTCTAATTTAGGAATATGCACTTATAATTGAGGTTTCTTAGAGGTTTAACCTTTAAGTAGTTGCTAAAAAGGTTGAAGATTGACATGATTTGAAAAACGTTGTAATTAATAGGGGGATTGTAGTCTAAGAGCATCTTTAGTGAGAGTATCTTAAGTGGGTAAACTAAGATATTTTTTTAAGGCTCAAAGTGATTTGTAGGATTTAAAAAATTTATAGTTAATTTGAGTTGTTTTTACTTTAATGATAGTTGCTTATAAAAAACTAAAACTTGACCCTATATTTTATATTTTTTAATTGTAATTGTTTTTTATTGAAGTTACCATTAATTTAATTATTTTAAATAAAATACAAAATAAGACAAAAACTAACTTTGCATACGTTAGCTATATAATTGCCGAAAAGTAAAAGTTAGTGAATTAAATGTCATGTCATAGTCATTCCAATGCAAATTCTTTATAATCATCGTTAACTATAAAAAATTTAACTATTAAAAACCTACATTAAAGATGCTCTAAGGGAATAAGACGTTTGGAGAAGTTATGAGGATTGGTTCAACTTCCCCTGTCGGAGGCGCCAGAACTTCACTTATAGGAGTGACTCTGGCATTGCAACGATCGGTAATCTGAGCAGACTTAGACGTTATCATCGTCAATACTGAATTAACATGAGATTAGAACAATAGATGGATCGTTTGCGGTCAAAGAGAGTAACTTAGAAAAGTGAGAATGAATGAATACATGTTAAGGCGTGTGACGAGGTTATATATTGTGACCGATTAAAATTGTTCTCGCCTGATTTGTACATCGTTGATGGGTTTATACATGGGTTGCGAGAGATCGCCCGATCAAACCTGACGATTTTTCATGGGCCAATAACTCGAATTAGGTGTTGGACCTTCTAACGAGACACTACCTATTCGCCACTTGTCAACAAGAATACTTTGTGTTGGGCCTTCAGCGTTGGGTCCGGTCGTGTTGGACCTTTGCCTCGAACAATTTTCAAATTTTAAAAATAAAAATAAAGAAAAACAATTTTTCATAATTAATAACAGACCTAGCCTGAATCTAGAGAAAATGTTTTAGGATCCACTACTTTTATGCATCATAGATTAAACTCGTACTAACTCAATGATAATGTATTAAAGCAATATTACACACCAAAAGATTGTTGATTTTATGTTTAATATCCAACGATTTTAGACCATCTCTCAACAAGGACATAAAATGTAAAAATCTTGAGACTTACCAAGAGCAATGGACAAGACTTATATACAATTCTTTAGATTCGATTTTTACTAACGGAAAATTGTTAGATAATTTTTAATAGTTGAATTAAAATAAATAATTTATGATATTGAATTCTGTATTTAACTCTTTTCTTGATGTTTTATTATTTTCTAAACTAAAACTGTTAAAAAATTTACCCGTGATCTACTATATCAGATATATTAAATATTTCCTTTTTATTTCTATTGAAAAAACTAAGTACTTTCGAATTATGAATGAAATATTGGTAAATTTGTAGTAAAAATACAAATATTCAATGGATTAATAGGACACTATTTTCTCAATTTGCACAAAGGCCTCTAAGCAAGAGCGCTGAAATGATATAGTAAGGGATCTCTTCTAACTTAATCAGAAGTTTTTGGTTCGAACTCAAAGGCCTCGAAGCCACTAAGACAGAAAGATCAGTTCACATAATACAAAGGTTCCTTCATCTGAGGGAGAAACCAAAAAATAAGTGTTATCTATTCAATGTTACAACTACTACATAAGATTTATAAGAAGTTATCAAAGTAACTATAGACCCTAAAAGCTGTTTCTAAACTCTAATATGAATTCCTGTAATTAAGAACCTAACTTTCTCACATTCACCAAATCAAAACTAAAAACAAATATAGATAAAGAAAAAAAGAAGCAGACAGAAACTGAAACCTTACAAGAGAGATGTAGTTCCTTTGGAGGAGTGATGCATGTTGGCAAAACTCAAGCATAAGTGACGGTCTCTATCGTCCCCCCATCCTCCCCAACCTTTAAACCCGGCTTTATAACCCGGCTGATTTTCATAGACATGGACATTCCAATCTGCAACTATGTTAGCAACCTTGTCGGGCTCTTCTACATGAATGTTCGCCACGCCGTTATCAATACAAGCCTTATTCTCTCCTTGACCCTGATGCAAACCGCATTTCCCAAAATGAACGGCACTAGTCCTCGGGCCTCGTAGCGTGTAGACAGGACTGCCAAACGAGGGATAAACAGTCGCCCACATTGTGATATCCCAATTATAATCATCAAAGAAACAAAATTCACTAGCTTTATTGTGTATTTTCTTCCAAACCGTTCGATTGAACGAGTACCCTACATTTCCCATTCTCTCTGCGATTAAACTTTCCCACTCCTCGCCTCTTGAGTTCACATCAGAAGGTGCTAAATTCGCAGCGTAACAATCAGGACATTTCATAGGCTTCAACGAAGTTAGTATCTGAAGATTACGATACGCGTTGGGAAATATGAAGTGGTCTTCTTCAATAAACAAAATATGACCCGAATGCACTCTAGTTTCGTTCAATCCATCCCATACCGTGTTCATCATCCACCACCAATGATGCTTCAACGATACAATCTTCGGCGACCTGTGGTTTCCATACTGATCAGGATTCCCCTTACAATGTTTTCCTTCCGCATCATCTTTCTCCTTACAATCACCAACCGATACACCAGGAAAACTATTCGGAAACAAATGAGGCGAATACGGAGCATATATCTGTTTCACTTGACAAAACCTTATACCACTAATAATCTTGTTCATTTCCTCAAAGTAACCATCATGACTAACAATAAGCAAAGTCTCATTAATCCCTACAACCTTAGAAAGACTCTCCACAACTATTCGGAGATACTGCGGCCGGTTATGAACATACAAAACAACAATGATAGCATCCTTAGCAAGATTTGGATACAAATCCAAGTTTCTTGGAGGCAACAAATTCAACTTCTCCAATATGAGTGACAAATCACTCTGTTGTGGAAGAGTTTGCACCTTCGTAAACTTCAAATCGCGACGGTATCTCGAACCATCATCAACAATATCTAAATCCTTAGTTTCATTGTTCAAAGTTGAATTTGATCCAAGTAGAAATATCAATATCAAAACCCCACATAAGGTAACAAACACCACAGACAACAAACGGCGCAAAGCTAAATCTCTAAGACGAGGTTTCTTATAAGATGCCGATGCCATAATATACACAGACAATAACAAAGATTCTAAATTTATTTACAAAACAAAACTATTATACATCAAATCTACGATGAAATTGTGGGGTTGAAGGGTTGAAGCAGAAAACAAAAACCCAGTTGTAATTGAAGTTAAAGATCAAAACTTTACACTTACCCTTGAAGATTGCAGTAAAATCAGATGTAGAAATCAGGTCTCTTAGACCAAAAGCTTAGACACAAGTGGTTTATTGTAACAAAAATGGATTATAGAACAAAAGGGTAAGAACAATAATTTGAGATGAAGAAGAGGATCAGAATAGAGTTGAAGAGTGAAAAAGGGTTTGGAATCAAACGTAGAAAACACGATAGAGAGAAAGATAGAAAGAGAGGTTTGAACTGTCAACGCTGCAGGCACAAGGATATTCGGGTTTGGATTGTTTGAGGATCCGAAAAGTGATTATCGACTAATTAACTTTGTTTAATGAATAATTAATCATATATACTATGAATATGTAATGGAATAAGTACTTATTGGTTTAAGTTATATTTAAAGAAAATATATGTTTTTAAGGAAATTAGGATTTAATTAGGAAATTTAATAAAAATTAGGAATAAAAATAAAGAATACAAAAGAATTTCATAGTAATTTTTTTTGGAAGGATATTAGATTCGCAAGTAATGGTGGAAATAACTAGATCTAGCTAGATTGTTATTTATATGAAATAAATATATTAGTCTAACATAATATCCCATAGATATTTTTTAGATTTAGATCTAATTTCTTTTAAATATGTTATAATATGATTTTACGTAAATGTGTCTTTTATATTAATGTTTTTAAGAATGATATTAATGTATTTAAATAAATAATTTAACAAATATTTAAATAAATTAACAAATTAAATTTTAACTAACAATAAAGAACATGTTTTATATGACTAAATTTTAATTATATTTTATAATAATATATTTAACTGTCACTTTAATTTTTTTTTACACGGTTACTGTATCACAACCACTCATTATTATTATTTTATGAATTGTAAAAATCAAAATCAAACTGTAATTAAAATTTAATGGTTACAATTAACTAATAGTGTAAAAAAAATTATAATGTCGATGTATACTAATTAAATTCATTTAAATATATCTAAAATTAATATATTAAAGACAAAATTACAATTTTTGTCCCCCTATTTTATCTAATTTATGAAAATGATCCTCCTATTTTAAATTTAAACAGTTTTGGTTCTCCTATTTTGAATTTAAATAATTTTAGTCTCCCTCTCACATTTTTGCATGAAAAATCGATGAGATATTCATTTTTTAACTTATATTTTTATCTATAAAGTTCAACAATATGATTATATATGATAATTTATCATGTTTCACAAGTAATTTGTCTTTTAAAAAATAGAAATATCGTTAATTTTGATGTAAAAGTATGAAAGGGAACCGAAACTGTTTAAATTTAAAATAGAGAGATTAAAATTGTTTAAATTTAAAATAGGGGGACCAATTTCGTAAATTTGATAGAATAGGGGGGACAAAACTGTACTTTAGTCTATATTAAGTTAATGATTAAAAAAATATTAAAATATTAAATATAAAATACAAAATATAATAAAAAATAATTATTAAATAATTCTTTATATTTATTTAACTAAACTTTTAAGCTAAATCGATTTTTGATTTTATTACAACTTTCTTCTCTTATATTATCTTATTCACGAAATTAATCTCCCAAATTTAAATTCAAACCGTTTTGATTCTATTTCATAATTTTGTAATTAAAATTAATGACATATCCATTTTTAAATGACATGTCACTTGTATAATATGAAAAATTATCATATAGAAAATTTTGTAAAACTTTAAATAAAAAATAAATAAAAGCTACACGTTATTAACAAATGAATACGTCATCAATTTTTAATACTAACATGTGAGAAATGGATTAAAAAAACATCCAAAAAAATTTTAAGATAAAATATATGACATATACATCAATAAAAATAGACATATCATCAATTTTAAGTGTAAAAAAATCAATAAAATTAGACATATCATCAATTTTAAGTGTAAAAAAGTAATAAGAGGACCAAAACTATTTGAATATAAATATAGAGATTAATTCCATGAACGAGATAAAATAAAAGAACCCAAAACATAATCAAACCTATGTTTTTTTTTAAGTTTTAGTTTGATTTATTTAAAAAATAGTATGGTTGGCCAAAGTTTGAAGTAGGATCGATTGTAGGACTCATATCCTTATTATTATTACATGGGATTCACAATATTTTTTAGTTAATTTGTGAAGCAAGATGTTCTGTTAAGTTGAGAGACATCTTGTCATAAAGTGGTTACGATAATTTAGTGGAAAGAAACATGTTGTGAATCAGATACCTTATAACAAAGTATAAACGGTTTCTTAATAATCAAGAAACACACCAGGGTTAGGGTTAAGGGTTAATAAAGAAGAAAATAACAAGGATTGGTTATTAAACTGCTATTCTTTCCTTTCTCTTAGAACAAGATTACAAGTATACAAGAACAACAAAATAACCTCTCTCTCTCTTGAAATTAGGATTTTATCTTCTTATTTTTCCTTATGACAAGATTGAGAAACTAGCATCCTATTTATAAGAAAAATAGCACACTAACCTAATGAGCTTTTTAACAATTACCCATTACAAGCTAACTTAGAGTACAAGCTACCTTAAACAATTGGACTTACAAGCAAGGCTCAATTCAACATGCTAACAACCCTAGCAATATTTACTAATATATGTTAGAACAAACTTCGACTACAACACGCATTACTTGCGAACAGATTTCGACCATACTAGAGTTTAATCCAACATCTCACAAATCTCCACCTTGGATCTAACTCTATAACATCAAGAAACTAGCTTTCTTCATGCAGCTTTATTAACTGCATACAGTGGAAAAACTTGCAACTAGGCAACGTCTTGGTGATCATATCAGCAACATTATGATCTGCCGAAACCTTCAGCACTTGACTTCTCCACGCTCGATTACCCCTCTGACAAAATGCAGCCTCACATCAATGTGTTTGGTTCGCTCATGATAGGCTGAATTCTTCGACAGGTGTATTGCACTTTGACTATCACATTTAACAGTGATAACTCGATCTTGACGTTTTAGCTCCTTCACAAAACCTTCAAGCCACAATGCTTCCTTCACAGCTTCAGTTAGGGCAATATACTCTGTTTCAGTGGTTGATAAGGCAACGACCTTCTGAAGTGTTGCTTTCCAACTGATTGTTGTCCCAAACATAGTGAACACATGTCCAGAGATAGATTTTTTAGAATCCATACAACATGCATAATCAGAGTCAACATATCCTTCGATTGCTGCTTTACTATCTTTACCCAAGGTTCCACCATAAATTAAGACTCTATTCAGAGACCCATTTATGTACCTTAAAATCCACTTCAATGCTTGTCAGTGAGCCTTTACAGGATTCGCCATGTACCTGCTTACAAGACTTACTACATATGTTATGTCAGGTCTAGTACATACCATAACATACATCAAAGAACCTACTATGTTAGCATATGGAATGCTATTCATATAAGTTCTTTCAACATCAGTTATGGGACACTGATCTATGCTTAGCTTGAATTAAGGGGTTTTCGAAGTCACAACAGGCTTTGAATTCGACATACCAAACTTTTCGAGAACCTTCTATAGGTATGCCTCTTGAGATAAGCATAATTTTGACAGCTTTCTATCTCTCCGGATGTTAATCCCAAGGATCCTAAACGCAGCTCTCAGATCCTTCATGTCGAACTCTTTATTGAGTTCATCCTTCACCCTCATTACATCTTCGAAATTGTTGCTTGCTATTAGAATATCATCCATATAGAGAAACAAAATAACAAATGAATTACCAGGTCGAAATCTGAAGTAAACACAGTGGTCGAACTGACTTCTGATGAAACTTATGCGTGCCATGAACTTGTCGAATCTCATATTCCACTATCGAGGAGATTGTTTCAGTCCATATAAGAATCTATTCAGCTTACACACATAATCTTCCTTCCCTTTTTTGATATACCCTTCAAGTTGCCTCATCAGGATTGTTTCATCTAAGTCACCATACAAGAACGTAGTCTTCACATCCAACTGTTCCAATTCAAGGTCGAATTGTGCCAATGTGGAAAGCAACATTCGAATGGATATGTGCTTCACAGCAGAAGAGAACATATCATTAAAGTCGATACCTTCTTTCTGAGTGAACCCCCTAGCAACCAATCTTGCCTTGTATCTCTTTAACGTCACTCCTTTGATTCCTTCCTTAACTTTGAAAATCCATTTACAATTGACTAACCTGGATCCAGCAGGTTTCTTGATCAGTTCCTAGGTGTTGTTATCATGAAGAGATTTCATCTCATCATCCATGGCCTTCAGCCATTTAGTCTTCTTTCGACTCCTCATAACTTTCTTATAGTCTCTAGGTTCTTCATCTAGAACCTCACTAGAAGAGATTAAGGCATAAGTTATAAGATCTGCATACCCAAGTGTCTGAGGTGGCTTGATGACTCTCCTAGACCTGTCTCTTGCTAGCAGGTAGTCATTATCAGTCTCCTCATCTTCGACAACATCTTCTTCGACTTCATGGGGTAAGCAATTCAGCATCAACATGCTCCACCTCAACAAGAATTTCTCCCTATTCCAGCTCTTCGTCAGCATCATCAGTTTTCTTGAAAGTCATCTCTGCTTCATTAAAAACTACATCAACTGATGATACACCTTTTGTGACCTGGCTCTAGGCACCATAGCCTATAAGCTTTGACTCCTTTAGGGTATCCCATGAACATGCATTTCAGAACTCTAGGTTTGACCTTGTCTTGCCTAATATGAGCATAGGCCACACAACCAAATACTCTCAGTCTGTCGAGATTAGGTGGATGTTCCAACCAAACTTCTTCAGGTGTCTTCATTCCCAAGGCAGTCGAGGGACATCTATTTATCAGGTAAGTTGTTGTCAAAACA